CTTTATTAAGACCAATCGAGAAGAGAATACAAGACACTCTGTAGAATACTTCTGCTTTTTATTGTTTTTAGATTTCTTGGATGAATAACCTAGGTAGGGTGGGGGTATTTATACTAAGAGTAAACAATCTATATTTAACCAATCTAAATCTAGACCTAACCGATTTGAATCTAGACCTAACAAATTGAATCTTTCTCCTAAAATATCTACATCTCTTTCTCCTAAAATCTCTACTAAAATAAATATACTGGGCTCGTACAATTAGGCTTGACTCTATTGGGCTAGTACAATTATTGGGCTTGACTCTATTGGGCTAGTGATGATATTTCAACAGAAGCTGCCTCTAATAGATCGAACCGAGCTGGCTTGTTCGGCGTTAACGAGTCGCCCTTGAAGAGAAACCCAAGCTAACCGTCGAGCGGCGGGAACCGGCGGCCTGGGATGAGTGAAGCTGCTGGACAGACGGCGCTGTGAAGGCGTATGAACAGGGGATGAAAAAGAGACCAAAGTGGGGAATGATCGGAAAACATTTTCCAGGGCATCTTGATCTTCCATGGCGGAAAGAAATCGAAAAACGCAGTTGCAGAGAAGGAGTGTAAATGTAAATCAAACTGATTTTGTTTTTGTTTTAATAATATTCAAATTCTTAGTTTTAAGAGGGAAAATTCAAAAAGTGTTGGAAGATGAACGTTGGGTTCTGCGATAGTTTACTGATCTGTCCTTTTTATAAAAGTAAAAATTCGCATTATTTATGCTCTCTGTACGAGAGGTAATTATATATATATATATATATATATATATATATATATATAGAAAGAGAAGCCAATGTGGGCCTGATTACTTGTTTAATGGGCTTTTTGATATGGGCCTTTTAATTATTGACCCACCAATCCCTGGATTCTCTCCCAGTTGTAGGGGAAGATTTATTATTATTATTATTATTATTATTATTATTATTGCATTATTGAACATGTTTAGTCATTAATATAATATTGTGGGTTGAAATAATTGAATAAGATGCTGCCATTCCACATTAATTTTTGGTTCATAAAATGTTGACCTCCCGGATGTGTCGTTGACTCCCCCAGTAACCACCCCGAAACATTTGGAACTTCCGAACCTTCCTCGCACCTCCTCCCAGCCTTTCTCTATTTCAATTATGTGTATGATTTAATATATTTTAGAGAAGAGAAAGTTGGGACTTGAAATCGGGATCTCCTTTCATTTGCTCTCAGTGTGTTTGGTTTCACGCGTGCGTACACCCAACTTAATAGATGCATGATTTTTGGATAATGAATGGTAATGGAGAATGTCCCGGTGTTAAGAATCACCACAAAAAGCCTCATACCAATGGAGATTGTATTCTTCACTTATATCTTCTACTAAATTAACCAACATGACACTCACTCCCAATAATCCTCAAATATGGTGTCGTGTTTAATACACTCCTATGCTTAAGTCAATAATCAATTGAACGTGGGTTTATAGACTTCAAATTTTACCCATTCTAGTATACACGAACATTTATTATTTGAATTTTGAATGTTATATTTATAAAAAAAAAAAAAAAAATGAAAGAGATATAGAATGTGACAAATATGGGTTGGGGATAAAATATAAATTAAAGACTCAATTCTATAAATCTTTGCACTAATACATTTATTTCTTTTTTGGTCAACTCTTGATTACCCAATTATAATTATTATTATTTTCTTTCTAATATCTGTATTATTCTCTATTAAAATTTTATTTAATTTTATATAATCTATTATAATCTACACAACACACAACACATGTGCATACGGATGACGTGGAGAAGACGACGGAAAATTCGAAAAAGGACACGGGCAGATTAAAGTGTTAAAGTAATAATACAGACCCATGTTAGGGGTAGAATCGTCATTTTCCGAGATCGCCACTCTCTTCAATGGCGCTATATATTTGCCGCTGCATTCACTTCCATGGCCGTGCTGCAGCCTGCCCCCTTTCTGACATTTTCATTTATTGCTCCACACATACCTTTAACGGATCAGAGCTTAAAATGCGCACCGTCGTTCCGTGTTTAACCATTTTACTGGTTTTGGCCGTTTGCTCGGCTGTTCATGGCTGCCCGCCTTCGGAACGGGCAGCTCTTCTGGCTTTCAGAGCTGCCCTTAAGGAGCCCTATTTGGGGATCTTTAATTCCTGGACCGGAGACGACTGTTGCAACCGATGGTACGGCGTTAGCTGTGACCCAGTCACCCACCGGGTTGCCGATATTAACCTCCGGGGCGAATCTGAGGATCCGATTTTCGAACGGGCTCACCGTACTGGTTTTATGACCGGTTATATTTCTCCGGCCATCTGCAAGCTTACTCGTCTCTCCGGCGTTATCATTGCTGACTGGAAGGGAATCACTGGTGAGATTCCGAGGTGTATAACTTCGTTGCCGTTCCTCAGAATTCTTGACCTCATTGGTAACCGTCTCTCCGGCTACCTTCCGGCGGATATTGGTCGGCTTCATCGACTCACGGTGCTCAACGTGGCGGATAATTTGATTTCCGGTTCAATTCCGGCTTCGCTTACGGCGCTTCCGAACTTGATGCACTTGGACCTCCGAAACAACAAAATCTCCGGTCCGTTACCCCGAAATTTCGGGAATTTGAGGATGTTGAGCCGGGCTTTGCTGAGTCGGAACCAGATCTCCGGTCCACTTCCCGCTTCCATCTCCCGGATCTATCGCTTAGCGGACCTGGATCTTTCTCTGAATCAACTAACCGGTAAAATCCCGGAATTCATGGGAAGAATGGCGGTGTTAGCCACATTGAATCTGGACGGCAACAAATTCTTCGGCAACATTCCGCCGAGTCTGTTGGTTTCGGGAATAAGCAATTTGAATTTAAGCCGAAACTACCTAACCGGAGAGCTGCCGGATGTTCTAGGGCCACGATCGTACTTCACGGTGCTGGATTTGTCTTACAACAACTTGAAGGGGCGGATTCCGAAATCGATATCAGAAGCTTCATATATCGGACACTTGGATTTGAGCCACAACCATCTGTGTGGGCCGATTCCAAGCGGGGCGCCATTCGATCATCTTGAAGCGGCATCATTTGTTTTCAACGACTGCCTTTGCGGGAAGCCACTCAAACCTTGTTAGAAGTTTAGCAACCCTACCCTGTAATTCATGTTTGTATTATCATGTAAAAGACCTTAAAAAAAAAAAAAAAAAAAAAAAAAACGAAGAACACATTTACTTTTTAATTTGATTATGATGATAATAATAGTCGAAATAACAATCGAACTATAATTCATTGCATTATATTACTTATACTAACGAAGATTATAGAATAATTATCACAGAATGGAATGTTTTTATTTTTGAATTTTTATTTATGGTTTAGATATATCATTCCATCCTTCTTCACATTAATTATATAGTAGCTTTCTTTTGATTTTGTTTTAAGACTAAATGAAGTAGGTTAATAATGAAGTTGAAAGGGAAATTTGGTTGAAAGAGATATAAATAGATGTGGATATTAGGCAACACAAGGCGCTATCATTCTAAACAGGAATAGCACCAAAAGCAGCCGCCGACCTTAGACAAGCTAGATTCAGCTCATTCATCAACAGATAGATACACAGTAAAGTAAAGATGAACAATTTTGAACCTTTCTTCACGGGCACCAAAATCAATCATCTTTTTGGACTCACTTGCTGCTCTAATCACTTCCTCTAATAATTCTTAGATCTGCTTTTCCACACCCAATCACCAACACAATCACTATTTTATGATGGATAGAAGTAAGATTCGGATTATCTCAAAGCAAGAACATTGTTTGAGATGTTTGGGATTCGAATAACTCCACAAGTAAGATCGATCATGTCTAGCTTAAATGATTCTCGTTGATCAAATATCTCAACACAAGAACACTTGTTTGAGATTCGAATCATTCCACAAGTAAAATTGATTATGTCGAGATTCAATGATTCTACATGCAACCTAAACTACATATAATTGCAAAGAAACTTAGTCATTGACTAAAGAAAACACAAATGCTCATTTTACTATATTTTCAACTCTACTTACAAATACACAGAGTTTTATATAGCCTCAAAATGAAAACTAAGAAAGCACAAATGCTCATTTTACTGTATTTTCAACTCTACTTACAAATACATAGCCTCAAAATGAAAACTATTAAAGACATTCCAAGAGGGGTAACATTCCTACTCTAACTGGTAATCCACCCAAAATTTATAAAATAAAATTTCATTGTTGTATTTTCTTCAAATTTTTATTGAAATATATTGTATGATTGATGTGTCTTGGATATATTATTATTATTATTCTATATTGATGTTGAGGGGGTGTGAATTAAAAAGGAAAAAAAACGAAGAAAAGAACAAGGCATGTGGGGAGGTGGGACAGACTAATAGCTGTCTGATTCCATAATTATTGGGGGGGGGGGGGA